AGGCAGTAAAACTAACATTTTGTGGCCCTTTAAGAGTTTACAACGGTCCTTTCTGCGAAGTTGTTTACACCACACAGGTAACTGTGCAGCGCTAAAAAGAAAAAGACAAGAAATCGCTAACTTTTCTCTGCTTTTACATCCCTTAACTCCTGCAAATCGCGAACGGTTTTGTGCAGTCTACGCCCGAAGCTTCCAAAGTTACAAATTAACCTCCCAGTTTTGGGTCAGAATCTCTCCTTTCCTGGGTTGGCTGGGACCCGAGCATGCGCAGAAGCTCCGCGAGGCCGGGCGTGCGTGCGTGCGTGCTCGGGCCGGCGCCGCCCCGACCACAGGAAGTTGGGTGAGCGTCAGGGCGCATGCGCACAGCTGGCCGGGGTCCCGGGCCCGTGGGTGACGCCTGGAGAGCGCATGGGCGAACTGTGCGTCCGTTTTTCCGGAGTGGAGGGGTGAGTGGGCGCCATCTTCCAGGTTCACTGGGGGGCCCTTCTGGGAAGGCTGCTGCTGCGACGAGGAGCGAGGAGTGTGCCGCCCCCCGTCCCTCTCCCCCTTACCCCCTTCCTTGTGCGTTCGACCCGGCGGCGGGGGCCTGTGCTCACTGCCCAGTGCGAAGCCGTTACCGCGGGGCGTCGGGGGCGGGGAGGGGTCGGCCTCGGAGACGGAAGTGCCGCGAGAGGTAGCGCCGCTAGAGGAAACGTCGCGAGAGGAAGCGCCGCGAGAGGAAACGTCGCGAGAGGCGGGGCCTCCGCCGCGCCGGCACCCAGCGACGCTCCGCCGTTGGGGCGCCCGCGCTCCCCGCTCCGCACCGACTCCCGCCCGCCTCCATGTGCTGCCGTGTGCGCGCTCCCCAGGGTTCTTAACAGTGAAGAGACCGCGGATCTCCTAGGTATTTCCCCCCTTTGCTGTGTCATCGCGGTCAGTGCCGGCGGCAGGCTTAGGCGGGGGCCGCAGCGCGAGGTTTGGGAGCAGAGTTCGTTCACCCATAGTTGTCCTTGGGACCCGGTAACGGAAAGGCGCGGAGGTGGGGCGGTCCGAGTTAATTGGAGAAAGCGGATTCTGTCCGAAGGTTCTGGCCGCGGCGTCGGATCTTAACAGAGCAACTCTGGCCGGCGTGGGAAGAAGCAAACTCCGGCCCCCGGGAGCCTGGACCGAGGCTGCGGGCTCTGGAGGCGCTGCCTCCGGCTGCTCCCCATCTGCGGATTTGATGGATGTTTGGGGAAAACCCGTGCCCTGCGGATTCGTCGCCTTTGACAGTGCCTCTTGGGGACCCCGGCTCTGTTATCTTCATGCCTTTGGTTTTCATTTTAACCGTCTACGCTATAAAAGGATACAGGGCAGGCCATCATAAAGAATAATTTCGGACCAGGGGCAGGTTATTTTTCTGCAGGGGGAAACTCATGCATTTAGAGTTTGAATGTGTTCTATCATAACTTGGGGCTTTAAGAAGTTGTCGCATTTTTCTCTCCTTGACCATGTTTGGAAAATGACTTGTTCACTAGTTAAAATCAAATGGATTTGAAATAATGCCTGTTTAAATTTAGCTCTCCTCCCGTTACACCCTCCCCCCCCCCCACCACCCCGGCTTGATTAGAATATACACATTTCTTGTTGTTTAGTGATAATGGTATTAAGGGGGATGAATCATTGGCTAAAAATAACAGCAAAATAAGTTTATTAATCTCACTAACTTGCCCTTAAATGAGCTCTTAAGGACCCACTTCCTTCTTTTCATAGGTGGAAGTTCTATCTCTGTCTTTAAATCAGCAGTTACAAAAAGTACTTGTGTTGCATTCAGAAGTAGTAACATTTTAAGTGCTCTAGAGTATTTTGTGTTTTGTTTTTTTGTGTGATGTTCTAAGAATAGAATTTACTTAATGAAATTGCATGGCAACCACAGGAAAAGTGCTTATTTTGAGAACTGGTCTCATAGGTAGTTGGTGGTCTCGGATGTTATAGAGAGATAATCACCCTAGTATCTCAAGGCAAAAAAGTTGAAGCATTTGTTATATTTAACTGTGACAAATTGAAACAATTTTTATATAGTCTACTTAAACTGAATTTATAAAATTTGCTCTCATTTAAACTACTTAGTGACAATAATTGTTTTTAAGTTAGGGAGGATATATTATTAGATATCTTTTGAATTTGACATATAATTACTCATTGAAACATTCCTAACTTTTCTTGTAGATTTATTTTTGTTCTCAGAATAAATCTTTAAAAAAAATAAAATAACAAATTTGGCAAGGACAATGATGTATACTTACACTGCTTTCTGAAATATTTTAAAAGTAAAGGAGCTAAGTCAGTTATAAGGAGTCTCAGAACTTGAAGGGGACAACTATTTCAGAAGCCATTTACAGTTTTTGTAAAATTGTTGGTGTGGATTGGTATATTGAATAAATTAGGCTGTACTCAATTTTTTGATACTGTAGATTTTTAAAAAAAAAATATTTTACTGATTTTTTTACATAGAGAAAGGGAGAGGGATAGAGAGTTGGAAACATCATGGATGAGAGAGAAACATCGATCAGTTGCCTTCTGCACACCCCCTACTGGGGATGTGCCCGCAACCAAGGTACATGCCTTGACTGGAATGGAACATGGGACCTCTGAGTCTGCAGGTTCAGAGGTCCTGAACCTGCAGACTCAGAGGTTAGGGCAAATTTTCCACCGAGCCAAACCGGTTAGGGCAGATTTTTCTTTTAAATACACATTTTTTAAGAGCAGTTTTTTTTTTTTTTTTTTCCCTTAAGGTTCACAGCAATATTGAGTAGAAGGCACAGAGATTTTCCATATACCTACCATGCAAATATTTTAATAGTAAGTCAATATATATATGTATGTATGTATGTATGTATATTTAAATATATTTTAATGATTTTTTTACAGAGAGGAAGGGGGAGGGATAGAAACATCAATCAGCTGCCTCCTGCACACCTTCCTACTGGTGATGTGCCCACAACCAAGGTACATGTCCTTGACCAGAATCGAACCTGGCACTCTTCATTCCCCAGGCCAAACTGGCTAGGGCAAATCACAATATTTTTAATACCAATTTGACATTGATAATTAAGATGTAGACTGTGCCAAGTAATTTCTTGATAACTTTTTTAGTTTAGCTAATAGTTTTAAGTTTAACTCATGGACCCTTTTCAAAAGAAAATAAACTTTGTAGACCTTAAAGAATATGACTTAAGATCCTACTTTGTGGAAGAGTAGTACCTAACTGTAAGTACCAAATTAAAACATTTATTTGCCCATTAACAAATTTATAATTATTAGCAGGTCATAAACACTTATTTGGAAAGACCACTTTGGGTATCTCAGAGTATTAGATGTAAATTTCTTTAAACACTAAGTTGTGATTTTTCAGTAGTTAACACTGATAGTTCCTAAACATTCCAAATTAATGTATTTTTATTATATTTTTACTTTCCTACATTGTCATTCGTGTTTCTTCATTAGAACTCAGGACATAGCTTAAGAAGATGTTCTATCTGAACATTTTTTTGTTTGGCTTAAGATGAATTTTAGTAGTTAATTCTTTTAGGTGTTAAAGGAGTAGTAGTTGAGTTTAAGATAGGGAGTGGTAGAAGTTGAGATTTTGATTTTAGGGATATTTTACTATTTGCATTAATTATATTTGGTTCCATATTTGGAAGTGTGAGCTGTATATGTAGTACTTAACACTGTATCCAAATAATAGCCATTGTTTGGATTTTGCTTGAAAAAGTAGTGTTTGAATTTGAAATGTTAGTTTTTCATTAATTTATTTTGTCATTTTGAATGGTTGCTTTTTAAATTTGATTTGGTCTTATGTTTTGAAAGGGAGGAGAATTGCAAGAGAGACATAGGTATTGGGTCTTTTCATGGTTGGAAGATATTGAAAGTTTTTGGGAATTTTCTGGTGATTTTAAATTTTCATTTTACTTTTGGAGCAGTTGTCTTTTTTTTTTTTTTTTTTTTTTTAAGTGAATGTAAAATTTATATACAGTGAAATGCATAGACCTTAAAGATAGAATTCACTTAGTCTTAATAAATTTATACACTCATGTAACCTAACACTCCAATTAAAATATATAACATTTCCATCACGCCTTTCCTTGTACCATTTCAAGTTTAGTTTTTAAAAGGTTTTTGTTTTTAAATAATTTGCAGATGTCTATTCTGAATTTGTACCTCCTTTTTGCTAACGGATGATTCATTTCCTCTTGGAATAAAAAAGGTCATCTTGTAATGTCCTTAGTTGTGGTTCCTTATATTGCCTCACAGTTTAAGTAGGTCATTCTGAAGTGACTATCCTAATCTGGCGTTGTTTAAGGTCAATTACAGGGTCCTGGGATTAATTATATTTCATTTTCTTTCCACAGTTAAGTTGCTTTTACAGAATTAACAGGTCTCCAAGAAATAATAAACAGGTAAGATATTCAGAGCTTAAGGCTTTTTACAGTGGCTTGACAAAAAAATGTAAAAGTAAAATAATACATCCTTAGGTATCCATGCCTTCTGTACTTTATGTCTGGCCAGTGATGCACTAGCGGTAAGCAAGCAACTTAGCAGAAATTATATACTGACCATAGATGGCTATGTAAATATGTAAAATTCCTCAAACCACAAAGTTCTCTCTCATGTGTCAGAAGATATGTTTCTTAGTGAGTTTGAAAATAGTTTGGTCTTGGTGTAAAGCAGCACTTGGCAGACTTACAAGATTTGATATTTTTGTTGTTCATACTATATAGGATAGGTCATGTGAAAATGTACCTTTGAAGTAGTTGGTTTATTTACATGTGTAGATAGGAGGAAGTTTATTCCTTTTTTAAAAATTGGATGCAACCAATATTTTTGTGAGCTTGTATTTTGTTTTCATTTATATATGCTGAGGAAGGTAGGAACCAAGTAATTATTAAGCTTAATGTGGGATAAGGTACTTCAAAAATAAGACTTGCTATTATGTGTACCTTTTTGTCTGCAGGTCATTATTGCTGTGATTTGAGCTCAGCATGGCTGTAGTCATCCGTTTACTGGGGCTTCCTTTTATTGCTGGGCCTGTGGATGTTCGTCGTTTTTTCACGGGATTGACTATTCCTGATGGAGGAGTGCATATAATTGGAGGGGAAAAAGGGGAGGCTTTTATTATTTTTGCAACAGATGAAGATGCAAGACGTGCTGTAAGTCGTTCAGGAGGGTTTATCAAGAATTCATCTGTAGAGCTCTTTCTTAGCAGTAAGACAGAAATGCAGAAGATTCTAGAAATGAAAAGACCTGATCACATAGGAAGAGAGCGACCAGGGGCATCAAGGATTGGCTGCTTACCTAATTTTGTTGAGGGTATTAAAGAAGAAGCAAGTAATTCTGGATATGGCTCTCCGATTAATCAAGATGCTGGGTTTCATACTAATGGTACAGAACATGGTGATATAAGGCCAAGAAAGACACGGCCATTGCAGGCAGAGAATCCTTATTTGTTTCTACGAGGTTTGCCTTACTTAGTGAATGAAGATGATGTACGTGTCTTTTTTTCTGGTTTGTGGGTAGATGGAGTAATTTTCTTAAAACATCATGATGGCCGAAATAATGGTGATGCCATAGTAAAATTTGCTTCATGTATTGATGCTTCAGGAGGTCTTAAATGTCATAGAAGTTTTATGGGTTCCAGATTTATAGAAGTAATGCAAGGCTCAGAAGAACAGTGGATTGAGTTTGGTGGTAGTACAGTTAAGGAGAGTGACATTCCTGTGAGAACTGAAGAACATTCTCCACCAAGAGGAGTCAATGATAGATATTTTCGAAAACAATCTCATTCAAAATCTCCCAGAAGAACACGTTCTCGTTCCCCTCTCGGGTTTTATGTTCACTTAAAAAATCTGTCCCTAAGTATTAACAAAAGAGATTTAAGGAATTTCTTTAAAGATACTGATCTGACTAATGAACAGATTAGGTTTTTATATAAAGATGAAAGAAGAACAAGATATGCCTTTGTGATGTTCAAGACTCTGAAAGACTATAACAGTGCTCTGGCTTTACATAAGACAGTTTTACATTATCGTCCAGTTATTGTTGATCCAGTTTCTAGAAAACAAATGCTGAAGTTCATTGAATGTTATGAAAAGAAAAGGCCAGCATCAATAGAGAGAGAGAGGCTTGGGCATGTTTCACAAAAACACTCTCAAGAAGGCCACTCTGCCCAGAAACTGTGCATATATATAAGAAATTTTCCATTTGATGTTACAAAAGCTGAAGTGCAAAGGTTCTTCGCAGACTTCTCTCTTGCTGAAGAGGACATTTACTTGCTTTATGATGACAAAGGAGTTGGTCTGGGAGAAGCATTGGTGAAATTCAAATCAGAAGACGAGGCCATGAAAGCCGAACGTCTAAATCGTCAGAGATTCTTGGGGACAGAGGTGTTGTTAAGACTTATATCTGAGGCACAGATGCAGGAGTTCAGTGTCAATTTTTCCAGCAAGAGAAGGCAAGACCACTCACAGTCGTGTGATAGAGATGGCCCTGCCCGTTCCTTTGACTCAGACGATCCGCCAAGATTCCCAAGGGGCCTCTCTGTGAGCCTGAGGCACCAGCAGGAGGCCGGGAGGCAGCTGGACAGCTTCAGGCACGCCCCGGGGGCCTTCCGGCGGCCTGAGCGGTGCCCCCCGGACTTGCGGCGCTCCCCCGAGGCCCTCGGGTTCCGGCGGCCGCCGGAGGAGGACTGCAGGCGACGCTGGGAGGAGTTCGGGCACCACTGGGAGGAGGGCTTGAGTCCCCCCAGGGAGGAGGACTGGAGGCGGCCACCAGGGGACGATCTCAGGCATCCTCCCAGGAGGGACTTCAGACGATCCCCCGAGGAGGACTGGAGGTGGCCTTCAGAGGAGGACCGGCGGCGGCCTCCCCCTGGCGAGTTCAGACGGCCCCCGGAGGCCTGGAGACGCCCCCCCGACCCCGACTTTAGGCGGCTCTCCCCCGGGGAATGGAGGCGGCGACCTAAGGAGGACCTCCGGCGGCCCCCCGAGGAGGACTTCCGGCGGCTCAGGGAGGAAGACTTCAGGCGGCTCTCCGAGGAGGACTTTAGGCGGACTCCCGAGGAGGACTTCCGGCGTTCTCCTGAGGAGGACTTCCGGCGGCGGCTGCCCCTGGAACTCCGGCGGCCCCATGAGCACTTGCGGAGGCCGCCCCAGGAGCACTTCCGCCGGTCACAGGAGCCTTTCCGGAGGCCGTCCCAGGAGCACTTCCGGCACCCCCTGGAGGAAGACTTCCGGCGCCCGCGGGATGAAGACTTTAGGCGCCCGCCGGACGAAGACTTCCGGCGCCTTCCGGACGAAGACCTCAGGAGCCCCCGGGAGGAGGACTTCCGGAGCCCCCCGGAGGAAGGCTTCAGGCGCCCTTCCGATGAGGACTTCCGGCGGCCCCCAGAGCAGGAGCGCAGGCAGGCTCCGGAGGAGGACCCGAGGCTTCCGGACGATTTGAGGCCGCCCGGGGAGGAGTTCAGGAGCCCACCCGATGATCTTAGAAGTCATCGCCCTTTTGTGAATTTTGGTCGCCCAGAAGATGGCAAATTTGAGTTTGGAAAGCGCAATGTGGGCAGTTTTCCTGAGGGGCGGTGTATGCCTGATCCAAAGCTAAATTGTAGTTCAGGGAGAGTAGTGCCCATTAAGATAATGAATCTTCCATTTAAAGCTAATGTTAATGAAATCCTGGACTTTTTCCATGGTTACCGAATCATACCCGATTCCGTTAGGATCCAGTATACGGAGCAAGGGCTACCCACAGGGGAGGCCGTTGTTGCTATGATGAACTACAACGAAGCCATGGCTGCTATTAAAGACTTAAATGATAGGCCTGTGGGCCCGCGCAAAGTTCGGTTACTTTTGCTCTAGAGAGCACTTAACGAGTTACCTCTTCCCAGTATTGATGCAGTAAAATGCTTTTTTGTTTTTCTAAAAAGTGTTCACTTTAGTTATCTAATGAAGCCTTTTAAGTTTGACCTGTGACTAGAACAAATGTAAGTAGTAGAATGTAAGTCTAGTTATCTTTTGCTTGCAAATTGTCGTTTTTTTCTAATGAAAATTAAATGGTTTTCTTTTGTTTATTGTTTTTTTTTATTTTTTTTTGGTTATTGTTGATAAACAGTAAGGAAGAGGACTGATTCTCTGAGTGCATTAATTTTTTTGTTGATGTCATGGGTAAACTTCAAGACCTGTGTGAAGTAGAGCTGTATTTGAAGAAGATACATTATATATTCACTTTTGTTTGCATTCTGTAGTCTGCATCTTTTACTAAAAAATGTATAAGGAAATGGTCAGTAACTCATTGTTCAGGGTTAGCATTTTTATTGCGACTGCCTGCAGAATTAATGCCCTCTTTACTGTTAAGCTTCCCATTAATTATCAATACTTCAAAATGAGCATACTGTGAACTTACGTTTACTTATGTAAAAAAGATAGGAGATTCTTAGTTTATATGTTCACATCTTGAAAAGTTTTATAAAAATAAAAAAAATTACAACTGGAGAGACCAACTAATTAACTTGTATTTGTATAAAAGGTAAAAAAGAGTTAAAACTTTTGTGAAGTTTTTCAGCAGCTACATTAAACAATATTTGTTAGTGCAGAGTGTTATGTATAGTTCTATGGTTTCTTCAACATCTCATCAAACAATTTAACTCAAAATACTTAAAAGACAAAAATAAAGTAATGGTAGTTCAAGGAGACTTTCAGGCTTATGCTGGGAACAACTGATAAATGGATACAGTTTATGTTTCTAGGGAGAATTTTCTGATGATCCATATAACTTCTATTTACTCTTAGGTTCTTATTTTTTTAAATTCAAAACTTTGTATCAAAAGTCTTAATAACTAAATATAATGGGACTTGTGAGATTGAATTTTGACTTTGATATTCAACATGTAGTGTAGACATTTTTGCAAATACTGGATTTGATTTTCTTTTTAAAAAAATATATTTTATTGGTTTTTTACAGAGAGGAAGAGAGAGTGATAGAGAGTTAGAAACATCAATGAGAGAGAACTTTCGATCAGCCGCCTCCTGCACACCCCCTACTGGGGATGTGCTCACAACCAAGGTACATGCCCTTGACCGGAATCGAACCTGGGACCTTTCAGTCCGCAGGCCGATGCTCTATTCACTGAGCCAAACCGGTTTCGGCTTCAGTTCATATTCTTAACACTTTGCCTGCTAACTTTGTTAAATGGTACTTTAAATTTTAATACGACGATGCCAAAATTATTTACAAGCGTGAGTAAAGTTATTTTCTTCCATTGTTGTTTTAAAAATAACGTTAAAAATAAAATTAGTATTCTCAAACATTGTTAATAAAAGACAAAGTAACTAAAAGTTTTTATATATCGAGGGTTTCTCTTATATACTAACTATATGTTGGCTTATTTAAAATTGTTCATTTTACTAAACTAAATTTGTGGGCTTTTATAGTTATATAAAAATTTTTTTCAATTCTGTGATCCAGAGATTATCCACATTGAGCAAATAAGTATAAAATTTCAGTTTATATACTGTAGTTATCATTTAGTAATAGGGTATTGCAGAAGTAGAATATGTTTAGTCAATTAGTACTATATGTATTTTGGATTAATCTTTAGTGATGTAAAGTCAAAGGAAGCCAACTTAGGTTTTTGATTTTTTTTTTTTTTTTTTGAATATCCTGCTTGCTGGTAGAATGAACTGGTAAATTTTTTTTTTTTTTTTTTAAATAAAAGAACATCAATATGACTCATTAAGCTAGTAAGCTTTTAAGTAGCTAGGAAAATGAACTAATATTCAAACCAAGCATAATAAACAAAATAGATATTTTTAAGTGCTAAAAGATTATGTAGATGGTTCATTTGATCAGCATTCTTAAGGAATGTATGAAGACAAAAACACTTCTCAAATACATATCAAAAGCTAAAATGAAGCTTAAAAAGTGAAATATTACAATGTGAAACTGCTGAAAGTAGGCTGGGGTGGTGTGATGGTGGTAGATGAGGCCAAAATTCTTACTGGAGGTTATGTTTTTTTTTTTTTTTTTTGGGCTGGGGAGAGGGAGAGAGAAACATTAATGTGAGAGATCAGTTGCATCCCATAAGTGTTCCTACCCAGGATTGAACCCATAACCATTTCGGTGTAGAGGATGCTCCAAACAACTGAGTCATCTGGCGAGATGCAAACGTAAGATTTGTATTTCAATTATAAATGTAAAATTAATGAATTGATATGAATAACTTTATTCTGTAATCTATCAGTTTAACATATATTTTTTATTAAATTATCTGTGTACATATTTTAACATCCCCCCCCCCCCCCCCCCCCCCGGTTTAATATATTTTAAAACTTTTTTAAAGTTTATTATACAAAGCTGGCTTCTGGTTAGGAGCCATTTCCCCCATCTTTTCCCAGTTCTTCCTCTAGGGATATGTTAATGACTGAAATTAGCCATGAAGTATTACACCATGGAAATAGGCAAATGAGAAAAATCAGGGTGCTATCTATTCTAGAAGAGCCAGATTACCAGCAAACCACCAAAGTTCAAACACCTGAAAGAGAATAATATGCTAAATCCTTATATCCCTATCACCCAGCTTTAATAATCTCATAGCCAGTTTTGTTTACATTCTCTTAATGTGAAAAATCAGTCATATATAGGAAGTAACCAGTCCCATACCCAATAGGAGGGTAAGAATCTTTTTAGGAGTGTACTTTAATCAATTACCGAGCACATGGTCAAGAGCAGTGGTTCTTAGTCCATGTATCTTCTTTTGAGTGACTGTCATCTCCATATTTGTACTAAATGTTAGCTATCATTTATTGTGCTGCATTAGATAACATATGTATGATCTGTAAGTATATATGAGTTAACTATATCATTTAATCCCAAGAACCTAAAACCTATTTTGGAGATAAGTAGGCTATGTTAACTGATTGAGGTGTTTGTTTGTTTGTTTTTTTAATAAGAAAGCTCAAAGGTTTTTCACATTTTTAAAGGTGTTTACATTTTAAAATAGTTGACTTTTGTCTGTAGGCCCAATAATATAAAAAAAATATTTAACATCTATCCTTTAAAAGAAAAAGTATGCCAATCTCTTATCTGGTCTAAAAGAAACTTAATTTTACATTGGCGAAAGGTATTATCATCTATGGTATACCTTTTGCCCTTAGAATATTTCTTAGAGGTAAGCAAAGCATACATTTTATATCAGAATCATTTGTTAATTGTTTTATATATCAACACTTTTGACAGAAAGGGCAACTGATGCTCAAGAGAAAGTGACTTGCTATTGTAAGCAGCAAAATAAATACTATAACCCTGATTTTTCCTCAAGTTCACCAAAATTAAATACTGGGACATAAGAATGCAATAATATCTGCAATTCCTTAAGAATATCAATTTAGGATTTTATAATGTGTTGAATATTTTAAAGTTCTGAAGTAACTTTACCACATAGGATTTTCCTCAGGAAGCAGTGCTTTGTTAAGAACAGAACCATGAATAACAGTCAAAAAAGCTTTCTAGAAAGTCTTTATTTTTCTGTAGTTTTCCCAAATATGACTTTATAAATTTCATAGTTTTTATATGCCTGATTGGGACCCATGAAATAAAGTACAATGTCCTATCCAAAGAAACAAAAGCAACAGCATACTGAAAAGGATCTGATTAAATTGTTTTAAATTTTCAGGAATAAGTGTGAAAATTTAAAACAATTTTATTAGGTGGCAATTTGGTAGCATTTTTCATAGAATTTATGGTTTTTCATGATGCTTTCATAGGCAACATTTCACCAAATTACAGGTTCCTAGAAGTTGTAGTTCCATGGCAACTTTTAGTATGATAGTTTTGCTTTAATACCAGAATTAGGCTGAATATGGCACTCTTTTTAAAGCTGTGTGTATAGTTGTAAAACACTGATATCCTAGACTTCCATTACTTTCAATCAAGAGTGATTAGACTCTTGTTGAAAAGTAAATATATGTATTGAAAGAAATTTCAAGTTTTAGTAAAAGTGAAAAAGAAAAATATGTCTTTTTGATTAAGGCTATCAAAATAGAATAGAATTTATATTTAATGAGAATGAGTAAGGACCCTTTTTTGATAATGAAAACATGGTATCTTAATCTAAAAGAAGACAGTGGAATGGTTAAATACTTTTTCTGTCACCTATTTACTATTGCAATCTCCACTAGGTTTATAGTGCATTAATATGAAATACTTTTAAAATCCAGTCTTTGGAAAAAAAAAAAAAAAAAAAAAAAGGAACCTATACAAAATGACCACATATTGCTAGACAGGATGTTGAAATGACTGGTGTGTAATGTTTTTTAAAGCCTCCATTTTTTGTCAACATAAATTTCCTTTATTTTACATTCCTAGAAGGATTTCATTTTGAAGTTTGATGTATGTATCAAGCCAGTATAAAGTTTTACAATTTAGTAATTCTGGATTCCAAGGCATTTAAGATAAAAATGGAAATGTCAAGTTTAAGAAAATTAATTTTCTTCTTCTGTTACATCTAAGTCTTCATCCTCTTCCTCATCATTGTCTGCTTGTTGATCCTTTCTTAGTCGACAATTGGGTACCTGTTAAAAAGCACATTTTAAAGAATTCTCACTTAAAAATATTTTTACATGCTTGGTATCTTAAAATGCCCTCAAAGAGAATGGTACATAGGACAAATATTACAGAAAAATGTCCATAAGTAGTAAGAAAGTTCCCTATGAATTACTGTATTTTAAGGTAAACCGTCAAAAGATTTTTCACTTGTTATTTTTTGGATAAAAATGTGAAATTCGCCAGGATCGGTTTGGCTCAGTGGATAGAGCGTTGGCCTGCGGACTGAAAGGTCCCGGGTTCGATTCCGGTCAAGGGCATGTACCTTGGTTGCGGCTACATCCCCAGTAGGGGGTGTGCAAGAAGCAGCTGATCGATGATTCTCTCGCATCGATGTTTCTAACTCTCTCTCTCTCTTCCTCTCTGTGAAAAATGAATAAAAATATATTAAAAAAAATGTGAAATTAATCATTCTGGTTGGATAACAGTACTTCAGTAACAAAATACTTTCAGAAAAAAGTAGTCTCAGCATATTATGAATGTCAGAAAAAGTTCAGGTTAAATAATTCTTGGGTCTCAAAACAGGTGTTTGAATGAGAGTAATTAAAGGGATAGCAAAAACAAGGATATTTCAACAAGGCAACTGAAACATTAAACTTTAAAAATAGTGCGATTTAAATTGAATGAGTTGATAAACTTAATTCAGCACTTACTATTAAGTCCTTACTATTATCACTTGGGTCATCTTGTTTCAAACCTTTCTGAGAGTGATTATACCTCCGAGGGGACATTTGGCAATGTCTGGTGACATTGTTCATTGTCAGAACTGTGTGTGTGGTTAGTCTCTGGTTAGTAATGGCTAGTGATGCTCCTTAACATCTTGACAAAGCTCACACCAATACCACCCCCTCCAGCACCCAGTTGTCTGGCCCCAAATCTGTAAAGGGCTACACCGATGTTAGCTAACTTAGGTAACATCATTACTGTAAGTCTAACAAAAACTATATGTACTATAATACTAAATTTATGTAGTTTGTTTACAGTACTTACTGCTGGAATCATAAAAATGTAAGTTGTTTAAGGGGAGAGATGCGTGAGTATAAAGTAGTAAGCAAATGCTTAGAGGACTGTCAGATGAAAACAAAGTACTGGGTCGAATTTCCCTAAAAGTTGTCTTTTGAAAGTATTTTGCTCAATTTTAAATTTTGAAAGTAAGATATGCAAACGCAACTCTCTCAATTAGGAGTTGGCAAACTATGGCTCAGTTTGCCTGTTCTTTAAAAAAAAATAAAGTTTTATTATGGCACAGCCATTTTTTGTATTTTAAATTATTAAAAAAAACATTTTATTGATTTCAGAGATAATGGGAGAGAGAGAAACATCAAGGATGTGCCCTTCACTGGAACTGAACCTGGAACCCTTCAGTCTGCAGGCCTGATGCTCTACCCACTGAGCCAAACAGGCCAGGACCATTTTGGTTTTTAAAATGTACTGTTTATGGTTGCTCCTAGTTGGGACAGAGGGACATAGACCATATAGTCCACAAAATATATTTTTCTCCTTGGTCCGTTAGAGAAAAAGGTGGTTGACCTCTTCCTGCCCTACTAGGATATACCAGGTAATTTAGACTTCCTAGATATGGAAGAAATGGAAAATTGGCGCTCTAAAGATCTGTGCTTCTGGATCTATGATAATGCTCAGGAAAGGCCCTTTTTAGGTATAATTACTAATCACGATAGTGGGGCTTAAACCCTAAGCAGTTTCACTTGAGAATTTGCTCTTCTCACTATACCAGAGAACAAATTTAGATTAGCATTTTCCTGTGCTTTCCATCTTTGCTCTGAAGTGTTCTGCTTTAGAGAATAGTATAATATACACAGTAAAATAAGAAGTAACAGAATTGCACTTAGTGCAATCTGACATCATTTGACCTAAGAAACAAAGGGTAGTTACAGGAGGTCAGATGACTTAAGGGAAGTATTAGTACTGAATGGCAGCAGCTCAAATTCTTTTAAATCATGGTTTCTAGCTCACCTGTCCTGTTCCAGGTGCACACTTAGCTGACAGTGATCTCTGAAGTGGTGACTTTGAATTTGCTCTTACAATATCTAAACGAGATGAATAATCTGGTGGATACAGAGAATTTCGGAAAACCTGTTGCAATGAAAGGAGATATTAAACAATGGAAATCTTGAAAGCCATTTAAATTCTTCTAATGTTTTTTAAAAGCACCCACCCCAATTCCCTGATACAAAATTTCTATTTATTGCACATTTAAAACTAAACGAAAATACCAAAAACATTTTAAATTGTAAAGATGAAGGCTAAAAAAAATCTATTTGGACCATATGAGCCCTGAAACAATCAGTTGAGCTTTTCCTGGGAAAATGTGCAAGTTCCTACCCTCAAAGAATACGCAATCCAGTAGGAAGGCTGCGAGTCCCCCTTTGCTTCTCTGCTCTGCTGGTCCTCAACTCTAACTTCTCTGTAGTTCAGCACCGGGGCAAATTGGAACCACTATAATTTATGGATTTCAATCTCATTAGGATCAGGATTGCCATTACTTTCCGTCCCTTCTCCTTAAAGCTGTGCTTCCAAATCTTACCACTTTCTTAAGCCTCCTTATCTGTATCTTTTCTCCATTTCTCTAATCTTGAAGGGTAAGATTACCAGATGCAATTTCTTCAATTTCTTTTTCCTTCACCCCATTTTTTAAAGTTGTGTTTTTCCTTTGTCCAAAATTTCAAATCAAGCCAACAAAAAGGCTATTTCTCCACAGATTCCCTCCCCATCACACAAGTTCAAGATCAATCTTTTGCCCTCTCCTGTTTTCAGTCACTTTAAGATACAACTTTACTCCTTAAAAAACTTCTCAAATAATCTACTTCTCCATTCTTCTGTCAATAAACTACAATTAAGTGATCACCTTCCACTGAAATAGTTTTTGTCAAACAAATCACTGGTTATCTTTTTGTCCTTTTCACTGACCTTGTACTGAAACTTTCCATGCCTACCATTGCTACACTCTTCCTTCACATATCCTCACACAGTAAATATTTTTATTTTTAAAGGGTTTCCCTTAAGCCACTTTTCCTCTTTTTTGAAATATTTACTTTTTGACTTCAGAGAGGGAGAAAAATCAATGATGAGAAAGAATCATTGTTTGGCTGCCTTCTGCACACCCCCAACTGGGGATGGAGCCTGCAACCCGGGCATGTGCCCTGGACTGTAATGGAACCCAGGACCCTTCAGTCTGAAGGCTGATGCTCTATCCACTGAGCCAAACTTCTCTTCTCCACAATTTCTGTAATGGCATAATAGTAATAGTTTATACCTATAATTCATCATGCCTCAGAACCTTTGTATATCTATACCCTGTGCCTAAAAGTTGTTGCCAGGCATTCTAATACTCAAGCTTCTAATTCAATAATTTTTTTTGATGCTTCATACTATTTAGAATCCTCCATCACATTTCACTCAGCACATTGTATATTTTCTCTATGAGACTGACTGCATTACAAAATTCAGTTACAAAGAATATTTTTTAAAATTGTCTTAACTCCATGGTAGATTTTTAAGTTTCTGTTTTGACAAGTTGGGCCATTTCCAACTTACAAGGCTAAATCCTCAGCACTTAGAATGGTGCCGGCTCATCACGTGCTCCGTAAGCAGTTGCATTGACCACACAGCCCTGAGAGCTTTAATTTTTTATGATTTGCTCCTCCCACAAGCTACCTATCTAGCTGATTAAAAACAGTGGTAAGAGAAGCTGTAAAGCAAGTGGTGTGACAAAAATATCTTAGGACCTCTGGAATGAGGAGAATACTGGGGTCCAAAGGACTTGAAGGAACTTTAGTGTCAGATGGCATGTCAAGGGTATTAGAAAAAAGGAGAATGAAAATGTTTGTAAAGGGGGTTCCAGTCTTGCAGGAAAAGCGGGGGGATCACTGTTTCTGCAGGAAATGGTTCATGTCACTCATGAAGAACCACGCTTCTGGCAGTGTAATGCAGAGAGGACAAAAAGTGTCTGTTAGAGGGGACTGGATTTGGATCCTAGCTAAGAACCTCTGGAAGTTTCTTAACCTCACTGGGCCTCAGTTTTCTCATCCATAGAAAGGACAACAGTACTTTCATCAAAGTTGATGGAAGGATTAAAATAAAGTGCATAGATCAGTAGCTGGGCCAAAGTAAGCTTGCTATTTTATTCCACAAATGACAGATAAAAGCGTAATACCCAGTTTTAAAAATACAGGACATGAAAAGTGAAAATGAAGACACAGCTTTAGTATTTGGGAGAAATGGACACTTAGGAAGCCATCTGTTGACAAACAATAAATATAAATATGATACGTCTGAGTAACAAAACAGATTTTGGCATTGGAAAACTACACAAACTAAATTCCATGTACCTTTTTTCATATAACCTGGTTTTACTCGATTAAATTTCCTGGAACCAGTGGAGTAGTATAAAGCCTGTAAAAGTTCAGTTAGTAAAAAAGAAATCGCAGGAATCTTCAAAATTGTCAAATGGCAGACGCTCTCAAATTCCACCACTTACTACAGAATTCTAGTTCTATCTTGAGAATGCATGGCCTTTTCCCACTTCTACTGTAAAGATAACACGTACAAAGTATGTCTCAAATATTTTAGCAAAAATACTTTTGTGCCTCCCCCTCCCACCCTTCTTGGGAAGGTAAGAGGGTAGGACATACATAAATTCTTCAGATATGCTTATTGTAGCCAGGTTTTGATATTAAATTGCTCTAATGTTAGTTGGCCAATCAGATTTATTTGCCTTTAACTATTGATACAAAGCAAGCCATATATAGTAGTATAATACACACACACACACACAGATATATATAAACAGCTGTGTTTATTTCATGGCTTACTGATTAAGTCCTTGAAAACTGGTTAGAATCCTGATTCTGCTATTTACTAACTAAGTGTCATGGATTAGTTAGTTAAAGTCTCTAAACCTGTTTCTGTAGCTCTAACATGAGAATAACAACAGTACCTACCTCACAGGATTAAGGAGTGAATAATAAAATGCAAATAAAGCTTTGGGTACTGTGCATGGTGTAAACACTCAGATATTAGTTCAAATCAGTGAATGCTATAGCACACTTAAATGACATATTATCATTATATTAAAATGATGCACTATTTCATGTAATGGCTTTTTTAGATTATATTTTACTGGTATTAAGTTATCTTTTAGAACTTTACTGTGGTTAATTTGAAATGTTAAAAATACAGAGTAAAATCATATGAGTTCAGCTATTTGGAACTGCTATGTAATCAGTACAATAACAAAATTAACAAATTAACCACTGTAGAATTCTAATTCAAGATATTTTTACCCAAATAAACTAATACTCTCTTTTAAAAATTTCCATACTAATAGAAGTATTATACTAAGCTTAGATAGACAAAATCTTACCTCTAAATCTTCTTCTTCATCAATCTTTTGTATATTTTGGTAGGCAGCAGTGTAGACCTCCAAAGCTTTGCCATGAAACAGCATTTCAATAGTGATAAATTCTGAAAATATAGTCTAAAAAAAACAAAGATTTGAATTTAAACAATCATAAAAATTGCATTGTGAATGTACTGAAGTTAATCCTTATTATATAGTCTTGCCATTTTATGGAATACAGAGGTATTTTTTTTTTTTTTTTTTTTTTTTTTTTTTTTTACTACAGGGTAAGTAAAAATAGTTGTAAAACCTTTTGCAGCAAAACCTTCAAATTATGCAAAATATTTCCTACCTCTTACCATTTACTTACCTCATTTTTTTAGTCAGTTCTACTTATGCCTTGTAATTGGCACTTATAATAAAAAATATTGAGTTAAATGTATGCCATGATGTACTGTTGCCTCATGCCTATAAGTATTAGGTAAAGCAGTTCAATTCTGAAGCTGGTATTTTAGCTACTACAACTGATGTTTAAACAATAGAATGTTTTTTTCGACAGGAATTATATCCCACTATATTTTTTATTATATGTTACTTACATTCTCTAACAGCAAAGGAATTATGTGGTAAGAATGATATTTCTACTACTAATAATAGCATCATACATTTGCATAAAACTTTTTAGCTTACAAATATATGACTTGCCCAGTGTTGCTCAACTGGAATGGTAAGGCTTGAATGTGAGTCTTCAGAAGTTATAGCTCTTGCTTATTGTACTATGTTGTTCTTGCTGGAAACAGTATTTCCTTTACAAATAAATTGGGTAGGTAATCTCTATGAACATATTGACAACTTATAACAAGGAAGATTATGAGCAAAGAGAATGAAGATGTACATGTTGATCTAAACAGAGATGAGATAATCGATAGCCAGGGAAAACGACAAACATTGTTAAATTAAGGAAGATTCATATATTTGGAAAACATCTCATGTTAATGGATTAAAATGGTAGTATTCCCCCAAATGACCTACAGATTTGATGCAACCCTTTTTGAATTAAGTGTTTTGGATCTCTTCAGATAAATACCCAGAAGTAGAATTGCTAGGTCATAAGGCAGTTTTATTTTTCGTTTTTTGAGGAAGCACTGGAGAGTTTTCCATAGTGGCTGCACCAGTTTGGAATCCCACAAGGTGAGGACTAGATAAAAAAGGCGGAGGTTTTAAGAAGTACAAACTGGCAGTTACAAAACAGTCACGGGGATTTAAAGTACAGCTTAGGGAATGTAGTCAATACTGTAATAACTACACATGGTATCTGACGGCTGTAAGACTTATGGGGGGGTCACTTTGTAAGTTATATAAATGTCTCACCGCTATGCTGTACACCCAAAACTAATATAAAAACCACTGAATGGCAACTGTAATTGAAAAATAAAAAATTCAGTAATTTAAATTTTCCATAAATTGAAATAAATCATAAAGGTCAGAAAACATGTTTTGAAACTTCACAGTTATGTTACCTTTATGTCCTTTATTTTCTGCTTTTCAAAGCTGTCGATAGTTTCCTCCAGCTGGCGAGTTGTTCGAGTAGCATCCATGGTAGCTCTCTGCAGTTCAGTTTCTGCCTACAAAAGGAGTGCCCAGCGAGAGACACGGGGGGAAAAATCAAGTCAATCTATTAATTTGAGTCAATTTGTAAATACTACCATTGCAATATTGGTTTTCTGGCATAACAGTATAAATGTCTGATATTTTTTGCTACATAAAATGATCTATATAAAAAGAACATGCAGAATAAATAAAGTTAAATCTGTGAAGTTACATGATTCATGATCTTAAAAGAAAACAAAACTCCCTTTCCTTCTACTAAATCATTTTCCCTCCTATATCACCTTTGGATGATTTATTATAGAAACAATTATCTGTTTTTTTCTACTTCTTTCACATATTTCACGGTCTGTGCCACCTATTATATTATTTTTCCTCATCATTTCTCTCCCCTTTATCCCTGTCTCCCCCCAAAACAAAGGGCTTATGATTTGAGATTTTCAAATTTCTATTTTTCCAAATATATTAAATATTTCTAATTCTATAATATTCTAATCAGATGGAGTAAAATATATATTACATTGAACAATATTACACTGTTACTATTAGTTAATGCTTATTACATGAAATATATATACCAATAACTAATAAGTTAGACAAGTCTAATGCTTTCCTTCATATACTCATAATAAGTACTTATACTGTCTAGATCTGTGTTGTACAATCAATGGTGGCACTAGCATATGTGGTTCTTTACACTTAAAATTGATTAAAATTAAATGAAAATTTAAAATCTGGTTTCTCAGTTACTCTAGTCACATTTCAAGAGCTCAGTAGCAATATATTAGCTTGTGGCTGCAGTTCTGTAAAGTGGAGAACATCTCCAATCTTACGTGTTTCTTTTAAAAAAGCAGCTCTTTCAAGGACAAGTTACCCCAAAATATTTAAGAGCTTTTTGTTAAAACAGTAACATAGATATTTTAAAAGACCAATTTTCTGATTCTTTTTAATAAAGTTTAATTTCCTATGCTAATATTATATTTGTTCAAAAGTGTCGCATATAATCATTTAATAACTATACATGGTATCTGTATAATCCATGAGGAAAATCTGCATCTGCCACCATTTTTGACACATAATATTGACAGTTAGCCCTTGCTTTCTTTTTTTTAAATTTTATTTTTTTAATTAAATTATTATCTGTGTACATATTTTACCATTGCCCACCCTCCCCCCATACATACCCACCCTCCCCAGAGTTTTGTGTCCATGGGTTGTACTTATATGCATGTATACAAGTCCTTCGGTTGGCCCTTGCTTTCTTTCTTTTTCAAGAAAATATATAAATTGAAATAAGTAAAATGGTTTACTCTAAGGATCCATCTCGACTCACCACTTTATTACCCACCTGTGACTGAAATTTGTCATAAAGGAAAAAATACATTTCAAAGAGAACAGTTTTTTCCCCCCAATAAATTAAAATCATATACTAGTACTCTTAAAGAATTATATATTTTTACAATTATACATGATTTATAACTACATATTGATTATATACTCTTAATTAAACAATTTCAAGATACTAAGCATTTAAAAATATATTCCTTTATACCTGTGTTCATGTGTGCACTTGCCTTAGGGTGTAAAGTTTTTAAAAACCACAGGAACTTTTAACTTTAGTCAGAACTAGTAACAAAAAACAATTCTCTCTGTTACTGGACTCGGAATTTTAAAAAATATAACTTCATCACAGAAAATTCAAAAGTAAAATAGAGCTCCCCAGAATATTCATCAGAATGAAAAAATTTATTTGATGCATGTTAAACTGTTAATGAAAATTTCAAGTGGACTAATTTCTTAGTATTATTTGTGATTCATGCAGTTCTTTACTTGTAAGTACTTTCTTTTGATTCACGTCTTTCCCCTTCCCACTTATTGAGTTTCATTTTGGATTTTGGAAGGGTAGATTTGGCTAAAGGAGGAACAAACGGGGAAACAGAAGCTAGTGTGACATCAGTATCTTAATCTACCACCCCCAGCAACTCTCTTCGTTTCTTAAAGTCTCAAGTCCTTTTATTCCACCTAACTTCTTGTCTGAAGTTACACAGCTATTTTTAACAAAGAGGATATAGATTTGTTTCTTCTTTTTGTTGAAAATTCTTCAAAATCCTATACCGATTTGAGTAAGAAATGGTTTTGATTAAAATACGATATGACTTTATGAATATCAGTGTCTCTCATGAGTACAAAACAGCTTATAAAAGGGTGAGTCAGACTGGTGTTTTTCAAATTATGATCCAGGCAGCTTGTTCAGAAGCCACATGGTCTTAAGGAGTGAGGAGGCAGAGCCCTACGATTCTTCTTTATCTTACCCTCTTGTACCAGAGCTGTGCCATTTTATTTTACACTCCAGGCCTGGTGCATGAGCACTGGTGGGGTCCCTTGGCGTGCCCTGTGGGGGTCCAGGGAGGGACCGATACTGCCTTGAGCATCTGCCTTCCTGGTGGTCAGTGCGCGTCATAGCAACCAGGCAAACAGTCATTAGGTCGCTTAGGCTTTTATATATATAGGTATTGAACTTTAATGTGCTTCTTTGGAATGGTCTGATATATTTTAAGGGCCTATCCTGATTAATATTCTATGATGCTATGGTTGAATATATTTACGTATATGTCAAATACATTTACATGTAGATTGTTCTTTGTTTTCTTGTCTGAGGTTGCCAAAATCCATTGGATTCCCAGATCTTTCCCAGTGAGCATAGCAATTCACCTATAGCAATAAGCTATCCAGTTGTTGCATTTTCCTCCCCATGGGAATCTGCAGACCTGTTTTACCTATGGTACAAGATTACTTCCTCCACAGCAGTTTAAAGAACAGCATCTAAGTCAGTAACATCTGTGTTTTAGGAATAATTCATTTCTCGTGTTGAATGCCAATACTAATGCCTCTCACTCAATCTTGCCAACCACTCAGGATTTCAGACGTGACTTTTTTTCTGCCTTTATGTACTCTTCTACAAACAAACAAAACAAAATTTTGATCTCTGGCTTAATTCTTAAAAACTAGTGACGTCCCCTGGCCTCTGCCTTAGTTCCTATTTGTTGGTCACAAATTTTCTAGCATTCTTTGTCTGACTTAAAACCCAACCTCTATTATCTCTGGTTTGTAGACCTTAAGCCTCAAGTACTGTCTAAATGTTCCTGTCCTAGCCTGCAATGGGGAGTCCCAGCCCTGTGGCTGCCCACTTCAGTTTATTACAAGGTTGGGCATATGTACCTTTGGTCCAAAGGAAGGAGGACCAGGCAATTGGCGTAGGCCCAAATCACTGCTCAAGGGATTCCCCTCAGGAATGGAGGTGTTCTGGAACCTCGAGGGAGCCCAAAGAGCCACTCCTCAGGTGGTTTCTGGCTGAGCTGGGCAGTAAAAACCTTAAGGAAGTAGGAAGGAGACATAAGAAATGGGAAAAAGAGGCAGTGGGATAAATTAGTACTTTCTATACAATCGCACCTATCCCAGGTGCTGGCAATTTTCTATTCTTTTGTTTAGTCATGAACAAGGCACGATCCAGTTTAAGAAACAATGATTCTAACAGAAGAACTTCATAGATACTCCTATCTAGATCACTTTGTGCCCAGCTGTGAACATTATACTTTTTGAATCTCCTCAGGGTTTTGACTGGCAGTCATAACTGTGGTTTCATATAGTGTTTTTGTTTTGTTTTTTAAGATAAAGGGAATTATTTTGGCAAAAAAAGATTTTTCCTTTCCTTTTTTAATAAGAGGCAGATAGCATTGCTAAATTATAATTAATCATAGATCTTTAATTTTATAATAGTCATTATCATTTGAAAACTCAGAATCTTGGTATTCTTTATAAAAACATTTACATTTATGTGTTGTATTTTTTGAATAGCTATTGTGAAAAACAATATAAGGGGACTGAATTAGCAATGTATTCTCTTTAAAATTATCTAATTTTTATTGTGGAAATTCATGAATGCGAATTTCTTTTCGAGCATTATATTCAAAGTAGAGGCCTGGTGCACGAAATTCGTGCGAGAGCAGGCTTTCACAGCCCTGATGGCTGCCTTGGCCCCTGCAACTGCGGCTTCATCCGGAAGGTCATCCGGATGGTCGTTCCGCTGTTTGGCTGTTCGGTCGATTTGCATATTATACTTTCATTATAGATTCTCTGCACATTTAAAAGTAAAAATGCATAATTTCCATACATATTTACTTCTGTACTGCATACCTTACAAAACGTTTTTTTAAAGATCAAAATTCAAAGGATACAATAACATGTCGGTCAGAAGGGTTTCGCTGGCGTGTTCTTTCTAACTGAGTTAACTGTTTGGCTTCTCGATTCCTTGCTGTTAATGTTGCTTTGAGGTCATCCTGCAAATAGGCATTTTTTTTGTTAATAGTAATCTGAGATTTTAGAAATAAAATACACACACTCTGGTTTAAGAATGGGAGAATGGTCTTGTTTGATCCAGGCATTACCACAGGAATTACTGCTGCAGAATTAGTGTGTACCTCTGTATGTGACAATGCACACACATATGTATTTCTTTAATATCCTCTCAAAATGACCAGATAATTTCAATGCAAAATTATAACCAGGTAAACACAGATATATATACATATACAGAATACATATATATGTGTATATATATATTTATACATATATAATTTTAAAAAAATATTTTATTGATTTTTCACAGAGAGGAAGAGAGAGATAGAGAGTTAGAAACATCGATGAGAGAGAATTATCGATCAGCTGCCTCTTGCACTCCCCCTACCGGGGATGTGCCTGCAACCAAGGTACATGCCCTTGCCCGGAATCGAACCCGGGACCTTTCAGTCCGCAGGCCAACGCTCTATCCACTGAGCCAAACCGGTCACTACCTATACATATATAATTTTATAGTGGTTATATATACACATTTGTCAAAATTCAATGAAGACTTAAAATGGGAAAATTTTATTTCATGTAAATTATACCTCAATAAAAGTTTATTTAAAAAATAGAACTCTGAGGATGTAATATACAGCATGGTGCGGATAGTTAATAGCACTATATTACATGTTTGAAAGTTGCTAAGAGAGTAGATCTTAAAACCCTACTCACACACCAAAATAATTATGGTGACAGATGTTCACTAGACTTACTATGGAGATTACTTCACAATATATACAATTATCAAATCATTATGTTGGGTACATGAAACTAATGTTATGTCAACTATACCTCAATTAAAAAATAGAATTTTGCTATACTCATTTTTAGTCTACATTTTATTACCTGGTCTAAAACAAAAGTATAAACTCATGTATTTAGTAAAATAATTTCTGTTCATATAGTCTTCATGACTATAAATATTACTAAGTGTCCATAATAAACAAAATATTGCTTTATGTTGCTACAGCGGTATACTTAGTAAGCTCCCTAAAAACATCTTTTATTTTCAAAGTTCTAGGAAATAGCTCTTCAGAGTGTATAAAAAATGATTAAACACTACATTGTATTTTTTAATCAAACGAACAAATTATTGGGAATCTTTTACTTTTTGCTAGGATACCTAATAATAGTAGAAAAATAATGAATTTACTTACTCGTTTCAATTTTACAATGGTTCCATAAGCTTTCAACGGTTCAACTACTTTGGCTTCAAGTCTTTCAACCTATTAAAATTATAAAATATAACTGAAAAGAAACATAGATCAAAATTTCAATTCTGAAATAGAAGCTGTGCTGTTTAATCTAAAAACAATTACTACACAAATTGAAAACATTTTCAAATTATAATGTCACAGTTCAACTTATCTTCAGTAATCACCAGAACTGATAAGACTCAGAATCACATTAAAAAGCTGCTAAGCTGTACAGTAACCATGAAGACAGAAAATCACCTGGTGCACTACATGGCAAGGAAATCCCTCAGGTTTCCAAGGAGCTCATCCTCGCCGTAACATCTCTGTGTGATTTTGGTACCTTACCGTAAGTAGCTTTTGGGTAAGTTTTAAGGCATCTCCAACATTTAAAAAAATATATGTTTTTAGTGATTTTAGAGAGGAAGGGAGAGGCAGAGAAAGATAGAAACATCAATGAGAATCACTGACTGCTACCTCCTACATACCCACCACTGGGGACTGAGCATGTGCCCTGACTTGGAATTGTACTTTGACCTCCTGGTTCAAGACATCTCAAATTTTAATACAGTTGCAAGTTTCAGTGTGTTTGGCACAGTGTTGGGTACTTTAAATATATATTCTCCAAAATGTAATGGCCCAATCTTTCAATAAGAAAAGCGAAGCAAAGCTGAAAGATACAGCAGCAACACAAACCTCAAAATCAAGAACACTTAGAGACCACTGTTATTAGCTGCGATTTTTTTCTGGGAAGCCATTCATAAATCATCAACACTTAGGGAATAAGATAAATGGTCTCTGGTGTTCCTGAGCTGTCAAGTGTATGACTGATCTCTTATTTAGAAGTAAACACTTCTGAAACATTATAGTTTTTATCACATATTGGGCAATTCTTTTACTAAGAGATTTTTAAAGAAGTGGATTTTTCTTTTTTTTAAAAAGCAAGTATATAGCATAAGAAAAATAACTTCTGGACATTAAAATTTTCTTTTTCAGGATAGGTAATACAAGCTGACATGTATTTAACTGTTTAAGAATAAGTATTACTTTTGTAGCAGGAAAAGGGCTTTTATTGATAATACATGTTTAGATAGATAATCAATGAGTACATTTCATATTGATTTTTCTTCAGCTTTTATAAATAAAATGTATCTATTTCATTTGAAAAGATTTTAGGAAAACAAAGAAAATCAAGTTCTCATTGAGCATTTAAAAGTGAGGAATCCTAAAGTCAAAACCGTGAATATGCAGGACAGTTTAGTCTATACCAGTGGTCAGCAAACTCATTAGTCAACAGAGCCAAATATCAACAGTACGACGATTGAAATTTCTTTTGAGAGCCACATTTTTTAAACTTCTAGCGCCACTTCTTCAAAATAGACTCACCCAGGCCGTGGTATTTTCTGGAAGAGCCACACTCAAGGGGCCAAAGAGCCGCATATGGCCCACGAGCCTCAGTTGGCAGACCACTGGTCTATACCATTTGGAATAATCCATACACTGATCACTCAGTGGGAGGGTTAGCCAAGGGCTTTCTGTTCTCCTTTTTGTCGCCTACCTTTTGTTCATTAGCACCTCCACCATTGGGTAAGCAAGGGAAATAAAAAGGAGATCAAATGTGAATCAACTCACTTTGCTATTTGGTAAATAGCATAAAGGTTTTCTAGAAAGGGACATGGAAACGACTGGTTAACAGATTTTAGGGTTATCTGTCCATAGAAATTATTTCTGAAATAGTAAGCCACCAGTTATGTGTAACTGTGTGAGTTGCTTGCTTATTAGTCTCACACCTTTGGATGAAGACAGTGGCGGGGGTAAGGGCATGGGGTGGGGTATCAAGTGGAGGGGAGCTATGGGGAGTGGGGAGAGGAACACCTGAACAATCTGAACAATAAAGATTAAAAAAAAAAAGTGTAAGACAAAAACAACAGTTTCCCAGAAAGGTACACCCAAACACAACTACTCAAATCTCTGAGTAGCAATTATAGGTTCAAAAATCATTATACTCATTTTTTTTTTTTTATAATTGAAATTTCTGTTTTAGGCTTAGGAAAAAAAAAAAAAGATCAAAAGAACTAAGGAGACAAGGGCCAGAGAATCAACGGACAACTTCTGACCCGTTAACCTGTCTTGAAACCTAAATAAATACAAGTGAAAGTGCTTGTGAGGAATTCAAGGGAAAAAAATGGTCTTTCGGAAGGAAAACAGTTTGACCACCACAAAGTCCCACCACTGGCTGGCATTCTCTGCGAGTCAGTGCCCCTCCCTCCCCCTCGGTGACACACCGGTCACCTTCCCTGAGCAAAGGCACAGCCCAGATCTCCGGTCCGTTAGTTACTGGCTTCCACGGCCGCTCCCATCACCTTCCATCCCCAGACACACCTCACACTTACCTGACCGCGCACACAAGCCCTGCACCTCATCCTCCTTCCCCAAGGCCCCCTCCTGGGCCAAAAGTTGGAAAACGAGTCAAGATGTCAAGCCCCGCTAAGGCTGAGTTTGGAAACGGTAACACTAACAGGAAGCCTCCCTGTAATAGACTCACACCGTGTCCCCGACATAACGGGTCTGTCCTGCAGCCCTGTGTCTCCCTCCTCCCCTCCCGCCCCGCCGACGCCAGGGCGGCCCCGGCCCCGGCCCCCACGCTCCGCACCTCGGCCTGCCGGTAGTCCTGGAGTTTGGCGAACTCGTCGGCGAAGGTCTTGAGGCCCTGCCTGAGGTTGGGGGTCTCGGTGGCGGCGTACACGGTCACCTCGCTCACCAGCTGGTCCGCCTTGTCGCGCAGCCGCGCCGTCTTGCGCACGTAGGCGGCGAAGATCTGGCACAGCTCCCCGAAGTGCTTCTCCACGTTGGACACGGCGCTCTGCAGCTGCCGCGTCTGGGCGTCCCTGCGGGGGGAGCGCATCGTCCTCAACGGGGCGACCTGGCTCCGTCCCCGAGGCCGACCCGCCCTCCTCCGGGTCCCCCCTCCCCTCCCCCGTCCCTCCCGTCCCCGTTCGGACCCGGCCTCCAGGTCCAGCCGCGGCGGGCGCCCGCCGAGCCCGGGCTCCCGGCGCCGCATCGCAGCCGGTGGCGGCGGCGCCGCTAGGGCAGCTCTGCCCCGACTTCCCAGCGGCCCCCGGGGCCCGCGCGATCGGGGGGCAGGTAGGCCGCGTGCCGGACGCCGCCGCCGCCGCCGCCGGCCGAGGCGGGAGGAGAGAGGCCGGTTCCCCGCACGGAGCCGGGCGGCCGGGGCCCCCCGGGCAGCCGGGGCGCGGCCGGTTACCGGTGTTCCAAGCTGCGCCTCAGCATCCTGCCTCGCGCGCCGCCGGGACCGAGAACCCTGGCCCGCGGCCCAACGCCCGGATCCGCGGGGCCGGGGCCTGCGCGGGGCGCGAGCTGCGGCTGCGGGAGCCCGAGAGCCCGCCCCGCGCGCCGCCGCGGCCCGCCCCGTCTCCATGGCAACGCGGCGCGCGTCCCGGAAGCCGGCGCCGCGGCCGGCGGGAGCCCGGAGCGAGGTTCCCCTCCACGGGCCGGAGCGGGAGCAAAGGGGGGGAGTTCCAGGCCGGCCCCCCGGGAACGCCAAGCTGGAGGCCCGGGGCGGGGGTCCGGCTGCTCCGGCGGCGTTTAGTCTGCACACGTCTGCTCAGCTGGTGCGAGTCTCACTCTGAACCTGGGAGCCTCTGCCGGGGGGGGGGAGGGGAGCAGTGCTGACCGCCTCATCTTCCACTTTTCACTTACAGGTGAGTGTTTACTGAGTTCCTATTTGGTGGGGGGAAATTGTGTTGGACGTTGGGAATAATTCCTAGATCATAAGAACCTTTGAATTAGGCTTTAGGGAAAAAAAAATTCTAAAAATGGTTTTAAACATTTGGGCCTTAAGTCTTTCAACCTATTAAAAATGATCCAATATAACCTGAAAAGAAACATAGATCAAAATTTCAATTCTGAAATAAAAGCTGTTTATTTTACTCCCCGCCAGGAGTCAGGTATTTCAGCCAGAGCAGTGCTTGGAGGTAAATAACAAACAGGGGAGACTTCTCTTTACTTTTAAACACCGTGTCCTTGGGGCCCTCTGGGGCTCCTCACCGGTGCTGCTCTTACCAGTCACACCTTTGCAACCTGCATCTCTCTCTCAAGAAACCTCCCCTGACAACTTGCCATTTTAGACTTGTATTTTTCGGTGCCATGCACTGATAAAGTTTGTTTCGGACAGATGTATGTCCTGAGTCCTTTGTGACCGCTTCTTTAGAGCTCTTATCTCTCATGTTACAATAAATGCCTGCTTCCTCCCCGTCTACTCCTTCATCCCGTTCCCTACTGAATGCCTGGTGTATTCCAGATTCCATGCCCGGCCCTGAGCGTGGGGTAGTGATCGACCGTTAGAAGAATCTTTGCTTCACAATCTCCTGCAGGAATAGGCACTTACCAAACACATGTATGATATTGCAGATGAGGTGTGGTGCTACTGGGTCAACTTTGGCTGCTTCACAGACCAGCACAAAGCCTTGTGGCACGCACCGATCCTTGAGCTAACTCAGGACTCTATTATCTGCTCAGCTGGGCCCCTTCAGTCAGCTGGCGGGCCTGCCGGTTGCAGCAACGTGTTAACAGGCACTTTTGCAACACAGCACAGGTAACAGGAAAAAGTACAAACACAAGAGGGCATGCACTTAATACAAAAGTTTGGCTTGAATTGTGTTGTGGGGGAAAGGACTTCATTGAGAAAGTGACTTTTGAGCTGAGATCCAAAGATTGGGAGGGAGTTGACTAGTTGAAGGAATAGGGAAAAACAGTTCAAAGAGTGGGACAGTGTAGGCAAACTGCCTTCCCCCATCCCCATTTGTAGCTGGACCTAATTTACACGAATCAGAAAATGATGCTACTGATTATTCCAGTCAAAAAACTAGTAGTCATTTTTTTTTCCTTTTCCCCAGGCACACTGGCAATGCCTGTTAGTTGCTCGTCCAAAACATATATTCTGAGTCATTTCTTCTTCTCTTCCTCTTCATCACTGTAATCCAAGCGACTACTATCGTTCACCTTTATTACAAACCGTTTTACGGGCCTCTCCATGCCCACAGCTACGCACTGCAGTGCAGAATAAAAAAAACGTAGGTCAGATCATGCCAACCTTTCAAAGCCGCTGCTGACTGATCTGAATGCTTGTGTCTCCCCCAAGTTCATGTTAGAATCCTCACCCCTAAGATAATGAGTAGTGTTATACGGTGGGCCATTGGGAAGTACGTAAGTCATTGAGAGTGGAGCCCTGTGTGCTGTGCAAGAGAAATAATAGGAAAGGTGGAAAAACTCATCCATCAACCACTTCATCATGTCCTGTACAGAGTAACTGGTTGGAAGGTATTTTTCCTTTCTCTTCCCTCGACTCACTCTAACAACGGCCTCGCCTAGGGGCAACTTGGCTGAGTCGTGTAAGTTACCGTCTGGCCAGGTTCCCAGCTGGCCGTGTAACGAACACCACAAGGTCTCAGGATGCGGAGACTGGACACAGTGATGGTTGACACCCGGTGCTGGACTAGCATTCTGTTCCTCAGTAAGCTCTGGCCTTCTTGTCTGTGATGCCAGCGTGCTTGCCCGCTGGGTGCGTTGCCTGGCCTTCGAAGGGTGGCGCACCTGGGCAGGGACAGTCTGCTTGGACAGCGTTCGGTGGCTGGCTTGCCTTCGCTGGACATCAGGGTGATGGCTGCAATGGTAGTGAAGAGGCACTTAGTTCAGGTTCCCCTTCTTAATACCAGGAGAGACTGATCAACTTGAGGTTTCAGAGACATCAGAAGGCTTTATTGAGTAGACTAGAGGGCCAGTGCATGAAAATTCATGTACTGGAGGGGGTCTCTCAGCCCGGCCGGCCCCCTCTCACAATCCAGGAGCCCTCAGGGGCGGGAGGTGACCTGGCGATCAGGGGAAGGTGACACCTCCATCACACCTCTGCTGCTGCCACTGCCGGCAGCGCAAGCCTCGGCTGGCCCTGGTTACCTGTGCCTTGGGCCGGCCCTGGGCGGCTGAGGGTGGGTCTGGCCGCATCGTGCGCCTGCCACCCTCTTAGTTGAGCTGAAAGGACTGTGGGACTCAGGCAGCAGGTAAAAGGAGCAGCCAGACTCACCCTCATCCCCCGGTGGGGCTGAAAGGACTGAGGAACTCCAGGGGGGCTGAGGGGACTGGGTGCTGCCACCTTTGTGATGGCGTGATGGTCAATTTGCATATTCCTTTTTTTTTTTTTTTAAAGATAGGATTATGCCAAGGCAACCAGGGAATTTAAATATTTAAATCAAATAAAACAAATTTGTAATGATATTCAAGCATAACAATAGGGCCATCTCAGCCAATAATGGATTAATGTTAAACCCTCCTCATTCAGGTTGTTCTTGAGAGGCCCCCAGCTGGTTCTAGTCTGGCCCCAGGCTGAGGACTTTACTTATTCGCTCTCCTAGTTCTTGCCAACCTACCTCTGGTTGGTCCTCCCTGCTGGTTGTTCTGATACACGGACCCATAAGACATTTTTAAAAATTGAATAAAACACTTTTATAATACATTGGACCTCCACACTGAATAGAGCCATAGTTATTTCCTTTTCATGTTCTGCATGACTTCCTCTTCCTCCCATTTCTTTGTATTTGCTGGTTCCTTCCTTGATCTGTTCTTGGATTATCTACCTGTAACCATCTGTTTTATCTGCTAGCCAGTTTCCTGCCTCTCATTTGTACAATCCTGCTCAGCTTGTAGTCTTGCCTCATTCAAACCCAACCAAACCCAACTAAACCAATCCCAAAACTGGTGACACCCATACTCATAAACATGGCCCTTGTATGCCTGAGAGCTTCGCAGCCAATAATTATAGTAATACATTTCCTTTTCCTACCATAAGCACCCTATGCTCCTGGACTCCCTCAGATACAGTGTCCTCTTGGGTTGTTCTATTTCAAAATGTTCCTGCCCTAGCCGGGTTGGCTCAGTGGATAGAGTGTTGTCCTGTTAGCTGAAAGGTCCCAGGTTTGATTCAGGTCAAGGGCATGTACCTTGGTTGTGGGCACATCCCCAGTACGGAGTGTGCAGGAGGCAGCTGATAGATATTTCTCTCTCGTCGATGTTTCTGACTCTCTATCCCTCTCTCTTCCTCTCTGTAAAAAATCAATAAAAATATATTTAAAAAATATTCCTGTACTGGAACATGCTCTGTGCTGCCCAGAGAGCGCCTGCCCCCCGATTAGAGCTCAGTTGCCCCTGATGCTGAGGTGAAAACTCTCTCATTTTCAATCCTCAGCTCAGTTTGTTCTGAATTCCATTACCATGTTGACATGCTTTGTTTTTGTTGCTTGTTCCTTGATCGCAAATGATGCTGTCGTCATTTTGTACACCATGCCCCTGGGTTAGCACCTTTTACAGAGTAAGCCTACGAAAGGTTGAAGAATGCATGCGCTGTTCTTGAAATTTTTTGCAACTTTAACCATCCAGGATTATACACACGTTGATAAAAAAAAAAAAAGGCAGCCAATTCATGGACTAGCAGCTATGTTAGTATGCCTACTAGGTGTTAGCCTCTGCCCTGTGCTTGGCATGCATCAGACAACAAACACAGGTCCCTGTGCCCTTGCAGTTTACTGGGATTGAGTATGGTCATGTCAAAGACCTACATTTGGAGGGTAGGGACCGTGAAAAAATATACATTTCATAATATTTGCTAAATGGTTGTCTTTTGCTTAGGGGAGAGAAAATAATTATCTGGCCTCTTCCGTGTTCTACATCCACAGTTGGATGCCATTTCCTACCCATCCTCTCGTCTCCATTGATAGGATTTTATATTTGACCAAGAACTTTCCAAGCCCTTAAGCTTGTTTATCTTTTTAGGCTCTGCAGTGCTCAGCACTGATGAGGCAGTGTTCTGGTTTCCAGAATTAGTGTTCTTCCCTTGGCCTCTTTTGACAGAGTCCTTCCCCCAAATATCTGCATGATTCTCTCCTTTACTTCTTTAAGGTCTTAACTCAGAAACCACTTGTCAGGCCCTCGCCTGTTTGGCTCCGTGGGTAGAGTGTCAGCTTGCAGACTGAAGGGTCCCAGGTTCAAGTCCAGCCAAGGGCACATGCCCAGGTAGCAGGAGGCAGCCAATCAATGATTCTCTGTTATCTCTGATGCTTCTATCTCTCTCTCCCTTCCTCTCTGAAATCAATAAAAGATATAGTAACAAAAAAAATCATGTGTCAATTCCTGAAATCTTTCTGTCCCACAGCATGATGCAGTTTCCTGCTTTATTTTTTTCTTAGTGCATTTAGCATTCTGTATATTTTAGTTATTTATCT